ACGGTGGTTTTTGCGTCACTTGTATTCTTTTTGGCGGTGAAAACACGCATAATGCAATCAAGCTCCAACGATTGATGACCAGTGCTCTTCCTCCAAGTGCTTCTGCTGTCCAGAAACTATGTCAGCATTGTGAAAAATCCAATGTTCACGCAACGGTAACTCTCCGTGCTACACAGTTTAAGCGAATGATCGAGAATAAGACACTTGGTACCGATGTGCAGCCAAAAAAAACCCCCACCCCGTAAAAGATCTACGTTGCAACTGAAACGTCAAGATGATTGAGTTCGATGTACAGCCCTAAATGGATATTTTTTGCTACGAAGAACCTGAAATACACAGGAACAGTACGTGCGCAGCCTTTGTTGACGGTACAGAGTTGTGGTTTTATGTAAGTACGGTGATTTTGTAACATTCTAATGTTGTAACGTTCGCTGAAGAACATAGTATGTTGTTTAAATATTTGACTTATTTAGTGCGTTTCGTTATTTGCTATCTAAAATATGACGTAATTAATGACGAATGATATGATAGAATTCGATGCTCAGAACTCAGGAAATGGCATTTCCGGCGTTCAAATTTCAAAAATTTTCCGGGGGGGAATGCCCCCGGACCCCCCTAATTAGGCGCGGTTTTGGAGTGTGCCACGGTCAGGGTTTTAGGCTGGATCCGCGCCTGTGCGCTCTACTTTTTTTTCACTTGTCTAACACCAAATGATTTTACTCTTCAATGGGGGAAACTCTGCAGCTTAATGGGTTGACTAAAAAATTTGACAATGTCTCTGGTGAACCCATCAAACCGCAATGCGCCCCAGTGTGCCTTACTTATTTTTTTACTTGTCTTACGGCAGACGATTTTACTTGCCAATGAGGAAGCTCCGCAGCTTATATGGTTAATTAAAAGACAATGTCAATGTTGAATAACGCAGTGGGCTGCTGGGCTTATATTGGGGGGGGGGGGGCTTATATTCTGAATGAGGTGAGCCTTAGGACATGTGGTGGGCTTATACACGGGGCAGGGGCTTTTATTTGGAGGTTTACGGTAGCATGGAAAATTTTCCTGGCACTTAACCCCCACTTATCAGCAACAGTCTGAGTTGTATAGGTTTTCATTGACTGGTGCATAACACCTCTTACAGTGAAATAGATTTTTTCATTGATTGAAGAATTTGGACATAAAAAAACCTAGATATATAAAAATTAGAAACTTATATTTGAAAGTAGCAGTTGATTTGAAACAAGTGGTTACATTTTCTCAAACCATGTTTAGCAGTTTTACCTGGGACATGTGTAGTTGAGCATATGATGATTGAGTAGATGCCAAGCTATATTTATACTTTATACCAGAAACATTCAGTGTTAATCTAGCAATCTGTCATATATTCATATACACAAATATTAGTTGGCCTTTATACAATAAACATAATTTAATATAAAGTCAAATGTAAGCCTTCTATAAAACTAATGTATTTATATCATCTTTTTAATTCAAATATTGTCGCGGCAAAATTCAAATTTTAAACATGAACACATGCTCAAAATTCATGAATGAAGATAGCAAATATTTACTTTCAAAACTGCTCCATTATACATATAACATAACAATATGCTTACCTGAACATTATTCAGTCATTCCCGCTGTTTCCTCTTCGTTCAAATCATTCGTCGTCGCTTAAAAAAGCGAATTTTACGAACCCATAAATTCAGATTGAAGGCTTGAAAAATATGCCGGTGTGAATAAATGACGCTATCCGGGGAAGCTTTGCGCGCGGTGTACGAAAACTAGGCACCAGTCTGTAAAATCGCGCTCATCGTGAGAATTTTCGTTTCTTTCGATCCGAAGAGCTTCAAAAGGCCAGTTACCTTCAGTTACCTATATTTCAGATGTTAATGGTGTGCTAAAGACAGATTAATCTCTTAGAAAATAAATAGTCCCGGTAATGCTCTTACTACATGCGAAGGAATAAAATACTACACAACAAATATCAAACGGTTATTAGACACGTAAAACTTGATATCCCCAGCAAAGTCAATATCGCCATTTACATCTACTGTATATATCCGAAAAACATATTATAGCATACATTACCGTGATTGATGATTGTATTTATTGTATCTTACTAAAAAGCATTTTTCAGTACACACCGTGCACGCGTGTTTTCCAAAATCGGTGTCACCCTACACCGATTTTTCTAACACACCAAGATGTGTTTTTGCAAATTAGTATGAGGTATTCTCGAACACACCAAGGTGTGAACACACCTTATATGCATCAAAGGTGTGTAGGAAAAGGTGTGTAAAATACAGGTGTGTTTCTTAGCACACCTAGGTGTGTTTTGTTACACACCATGGTGTGTTTTCTAACACATCATGGTGTGTTTTCTAACACACAAAGGTGTGTTTTCTAAAATTGTATAGGAAGGTGTGTAAAATGTACACACCTTGGTGTGTAATTAAACACACCTTGGTGTGTAATTGAACACACCTGTTTTTAGAGTGTACGCTATAGTTTATTATATGTTTCATGTTTTATACTGTACTAGAGAGACACATTGCAATTGGCAGCAAGGCTAATTGCTCAAGATAAATATTGCAGAAATAGTGATAGTAATTCCTTAAGGTGGCAAAATGTATCCAAAAGTAATACAACCGATCGTGATATTACTAATATTTCAGTACATATGCCGAATACTTCAGACATCCATGTGCGTAATAGATATGAATCGCTAATTGATGAAGGGGATTACAACGGCTCTAATGAACCGGGAAATAATCACGACACCTTTCAAATTCACAATACACAAACGCTACATTCCATGCGAAATCAATCTCATTTGAATAATAATTCCGAGCAATCTCTAGAAGAGCATAACAACGAACCTTGGTACCCACAAGAAGATGACCAGCGTCAAAATACCAATAAACAACAAAGTGGGCAAGCCAAGTCAAGAATGCATAATCAACAAAGTAGGCAAGACAACCCCCCCGTCGAAAGCGCTGATCATAACTCTACTTATTCGGGTGCCCAAAGCCTCGAACAGTGCGTGTTTTTAATTGGGGACTCAATCATCAAGAACATTATCCCCCAGAAGCTGTCACGTAAGAAAGTTCGTAAGTTTACCTACCCCGGAAAGTCAGCAGAAGAA